ACCAAACCAATCAAAACATGTTATTCATTAAAATAGGACATTATACTGTGTCCTCTTTTCAACAATTCATTTGTGGCTGCAGCCTAAGCAACATAGGCATGCCCATCCAGGGCTTAACCACATGCAGAAGAGTGCTGAGATTCGCACTTGTGAAACTTTATAACTGAAATCCCAAATGCGGAAGCGTGTAGAGATCCACACATGTTAGGCACGCCACCCGCGAACCCTGTGCGGAAGTGTGTTGGGATCCTTACTTATTGAACTTCAAAAAGGTGTTGGTGATCCTACGGGAAAGTGTGTTGAGATCCATACTACTCAAACTTCATAAACGAATAACGATTGGCACGCCACACAGGGAACCCTGTGCGGAAGTGTGCCGGGATCCTTTCTTGTCAAACTTCAATTTCATAAAATTTAATGTGATGAAAGATATTATATTGTGACACTGTCCTCTTTGTTACGAAATCGTTTTTTACTGCAGTGTTTCCACATAGGCGTGCCCATCCACTCGGCCCAAATGCGAACGTTTGCTGACATCCATAGTTGTTGAACTTTGTAAGCAAAATTAGCAATGTAATCAAATTTAATTGGAGAGACTCGGTTTAATTCTTTCGGTTATCCCAAAGTTACACATGCAGGTTCATCGTCTTGCTGAAGACGGTTGTTTAGATGTATGTTGAGATCCGGACTTGTTTAGAAGACTTGTGACCCTGACAATGGGCGGGAGTATGCCGAGATCCACACTTGTTAAACTCAAAGCTTACGTATGTGATGAGCAAGGTGTCATGATCGAACCGTTGTTGGTCAACACATCAAATTTTCGTTTACCAGGTTATCCCTAAGTTATGCAAGCACACCCATCGTCTTACCCGAGACGATTGTTTGGATGTTGAAGAGATTCGGACTTCCGCATAAAGGCACGGTCATCATCTCGCCCGACATGAGGGCACTGAGGAACACACTTGTTTACAGTTGTGATGGGCAAGGTGTATTTTAATAACCATTTTTTTTGGATATTCTATGCACAAGTCTAGAACTTAAAATTGTGCTCATTCACGATGAATATCCACAGTTTAAATGGTAATGCAAAGAAGGTTTGGGCATCCACTAACCACTTTCACATAAGATGGCATTTCTCATGCATCATCCAATCAGTTTCACAATCATGTTTACACTTCCCTTTTAAAACATGGAACAGAATACTTGTAGTAGAACAGAATTCGAAACATGGAACATAACGTATGACATATTTCGCTGCATTAGAAACGACTGCGACGTGACAGAGATCACAAAGCCCATACATGACGCAGGACATGCAATGAGCTTGTTGTAGACAACCCAAACTCGGAACGACAAAAGAAAGCAATGTCTTTGGCAGAAGGACAGTTGAATAATGTCTCGATTTACAAAATTCAATGAACAACGAATGGAACACCTTAAGAAAATAGTTTCCAAGTCAATCAAATTTATCAAAGACAATGATGTTGTAAATAAAATGATGCTAATTGTCGTGTAAGAAGCGGAATATCTTTAGAAGATAATGTCTCGATTTACAAAATTCAATGAACAACGAATGGAACACCTTAAGAAAAGAGTTTTAGTCAATCAAATCCATCAAAGACAACGATGTTCTAAGATACATGATGCTAATTGTCGTCTAAGAAGCGGAATATCTTTATAAGAGAACTGGAAAGACGGTCGATCTCCACGTTGCAACAATGTCGCATTCATCAACATGAACACCCCACAGCTTGCTTCATCCACTTGTCTTGGAACTCCATCCACCACAACATTTCTCACTATCGACTTCCAACTCCTACCCGAACGCCTATGTGATGTTTAACGTTTCAAATACTGCACAATCAACCCGAAAACAGAAAGGTAAAAACTAGAATCAGATACAACGCGAGGAAAAGAATCAAAAATTTCGAGAACATCATCATTTATGTTGAGGGAAAGGAGGATCCAGTGATCATCATCTTTGTGGACAGGAACGAAGACAATATCGTAACGAAGCAAACTACGTTTCTAGCCCACCTCCGCACCCCACCGTGTCCTTGAAGTCGCAGTTTACTGAAGAAGAACGAATTAAAGCTGAAGACTTGAAGGCATGACGAGATGTCATGTGACCCACATGCGGTTGACCCCAACAACGCCATATAGAAATTGACCACCTCATCATTCACCCTGCCGTCGACATGCAGCATGGTGAGGAGATATTTTGCTGCAATCCGAAATTGGCCATCGCCCAGTATAGAGAGAGCAGTGTGAGACGGCACCGAGCGTCGTAAAATGTCGTCCAAAACCCGCAAGCTCAGAGGCTCAATCGCTGTAGCGAAACTTTTCCCGCGTGCTGCACTTGCGGCCAGCGCTGCATAATATCGAGCAAAGGACACGTGGGGTAGTGAAAAATGGAGTTTTAGGCATTGTCCCCCGGAGCATGACGCGTTGCTAAGTACTTCTCATACATGGCCTGACCCCTACTCACAAATCGTGGATATGTCCCTTTCTCTGGGGCAAGAAGGGAAACACATTCCTCAATGGCAACATTGTACTCCTTCTTCCCGATCTCGACATCAACCCCTGATGCCTTTAACATATCCTTGTGTTTTGTAGTCAACCCGAGGACTTTCTGCAATATGTGCTCAGGATATTTGGAGGACCTCCGTGTTCGAGACAACCCCACCCCTGTACAACAGAAGAAAGACACAACGAAAAATGAGAACCATACAATCGCACAGATGCAACAGTCAAGCAGGACCTTTCCGACCATAGGACCCTGATTTCGCGTGGTCATGTGCACCTAGGTGTGGTTGTGATACTGGAAAACAAAACGACTGCAACATTCTAGCTTAACACCCCCGCACTTCGCAAAGGAAAACCACCACAACTCACAGAAGCCAAAGGCCAGCAGTCCCCGAAGTTCGGACTGCGGCGGACTTTTCAACACACCAGCCCCACTGAGACTGACCACATCACGCATCGACAAAGGAAGTTCGGATCCCGGCGGACTAAAACCGACACTATTCCCCGAAAAGGGAAAACCGTCAGTCTATGTACTTGACCATTTCCTCAGCCGGGGCAGATCCTTCCTTGGATGGAGTGTAAGTTTGTCGAGGAACTTTTGGCCGCCCTCGACCAGCAACCCGGCCGAGTGACAGATAAGCCAACGAGATGTATTAGGAAGGGCTAGTGGCTGTAGTATGGCGGCATCCGGAACTTCCCGTATCGACAGACAGTGTGGACAGTCGTCGTGTGCACAGCGCGGACTGTAATCCGATGACATCGAACGTGCAAGCAGTGTGGCGTTCTTCACGGTTTACCAGTCTGTTTCTCTCTCCGCTCCTTCGATGGGGAATTTGGCGCGGGCAAAGCGAGCACGTCGAGAGCTTGACCGCCGACCCTCGATTTTTTTGGGGACGTGACATGTTGTCGTCCCCCGACCTCGCCTTCCTCTCCGACGGCAAGGGTGGCCGGCAGGACCAGGGACTTTGGCGGCGACGAAGCGAGGGCAGCTGCAACGGGAGACGTGACAATGCCAGTTTTGTCGATGTCAGGCGTTGTGGACGGACGGGGAGACACGTTGTGGTCGCCGAGGATACCGTCGATAACTTCGTCGATGCTTATACGCCGACTTGTTCTAGACGGGCTGATAGCGTTGGAAGCCTCAACGAAGCGGTGTTGCAAGTCGACAGCAGACGTCAGTGGTCGGACCGCATAATTTTTAGGCTGTCGGGAAAGGCTGCTAACGACCTGTGTCTCCATTTCTATTGTCGTGGCATCATCGTCGACATCATCCTCGTGATGCTCTCCGTACAATTGTCCGAATTCGTCAGACGACTCTCCAGATCTGGCATCGTCCTCACTGTGCTCCACCTCGTCGTCTCCAGATCCGGCACCCTCCCTCCCTGCAAGCAAAGTACCTACGTTTCTCCCGCTTCCTCCCCTTCCTCCTCTTCTTCCCCCTCTTCCTCCCCTTCTTCCTCCCCTTCTAGCGCTCCCCTCCATTCCTCCATTTTCTCTCCTACTTCCCTTCCACGAAACTCATCCCCTTCCGCGATACCCGTGCTGAATCCCGAGGACCGCCCTTCCGTCTCCGTGCACGCTGCCCCTCTCAACGGCACGACAATCCCTGGCCGACACCCCCCGCCCGAAGAAGTTCGGATCTCGGCGGACTTCGTCGTCTCCGTGTCGTCGGACCCTGTACCTGCAGCCTCTCGCTGCAATCCTTGCGGTCGTCGCTCCTGCTCAGGCGGCACCTTTCCCATGTTTCCGTCCCGCGCCGCAATGCTGTTAATTTCGGGATCCTTGCTTGGCCCCCCCGATCCCGAGTGGCTTTGCATTCCGAACCGCTTTGGGGGTTCCTCAGCGGATGTAGTTCGGGTCCCGGCAGACTTCAACTTTCCGCTGGAGCGACTACCCAGAGCAAGCAAAGCGGCCAACTTGTCCCTCGCTGAGCCCACGGACGAAGTCAGGAGGTCGGCGGACTGTGTCGTATGATCCGGCCAGGTGCCTGTCAACGGAGGCCGGTCGACGGCAAAACCCGCCACCCCGCCGCTGCCTCCCGGTATCGTGTTGCGGCCGTTAGACCCCCTCTCCCCACGAGTCGGGACTCCTTTGCCACCCCCCGCGCCACCACCCCCATCCCCTCCACTTCCAGGTGCCCCCCCCCCGGAACTACCGTCCGGGCCACTGGGAGGGGGCACTTTCCAGTCCACCATGCCCTTCGACGGACTCGTGTCGAGGTCGTAGTAGTCCTCCGTCAATTCCAACGAGCACTTGTCCTCAAGCTCGTCGAACAGTCGACCGGATGTGGAAATGAGGGACAGGTTGCCGGGTGCAAAGGTGTCATTCTCGGTCGTCACTTTCTGGAGGATCGAAATCCTCGCGAGGTGCAGGAAGTTGGACTTCGACTCGCGCGGGAATGACGCCCATCCCGCGCCCGGGATTGCAACGGCCATGACCCACTCGCCCTTTCGTATTGCTGGCTTGATGACTCCCGGATGCCACACCATGTCATGGCCCCATTCCAGCTCAGGCGAATGACGTTGTGGCTCAAGCAGGAAGTGGATGTGGTCATCCTGCCAAGATGGATGATCGGGCGGGATGTCGGACCCGAGACGCAAGGCAGGCGGGGGGACGGCCAGAGCTCTTAGTCTCTCCATCAACTTCATCGGCGTGGTGCCCGATGGCGATTTGGCCGACGGCGACACGAGGGCTGCAGCGCTCGATAACAGACCGGCCGACGACGACCCTCTGCCGTGGTCCGCCGGAGGTGGGTCGTACTGCAGATCAATGCTCTCTGTGTCGCTCTCCTCCTCCTTCGCGTTGGCGACAAACTCCACACCTGTGGCTTCTTCGTCATCAGTGGAGATCAGGGAAGCGTAACTGGATAACTTCAACTGCTCCTCGGACTCCACGAAGTACTGCGACTGCAACCTATCAAGGAACGTCTTCGCGTTCATGCGGGAGGCGAAGTGGTAGTTGTCGAGCAGTGCGAACATGTGGTTCTTCCGGCGGACGTACTCGGCGTCAAAGTCCTTCCTCGACCGTGTTTGAAGGAACAAGAAATCGTATATCTTGTCCTCTTCCTCTCGCTCAACTTGAACCACATATCCGTCTTGTTGCTCTACACCTTATCCCATGTTGGTTTCACGACCAAGAACTCACAATTGTGCCCACCCATATTGACCTCGCTTTTCACCACCTGCATTGTGAATTGCAAGAGCTCGGCGTTCCCTTGCATCGCGACAACGTGCCGGCCGACCTTCAGAAGATCCCAGACGCTTCGCGCGTGCGGTTTCCCAAGGAACATGACACCCTCTCCCTTCTTGCCAAGGAAATCAAGAAGACCGACGAATTGTGTCGGATTGCGTTCCATATCCCCGTAGACACTCCCCTGTCGTTCCGGCGCCACCCGCGACCAATCGCAAGGCACAAAGGGAATCTCGGACACATCCGCCTGGGTGACCTTCTGAGGCAATCGCACCGCAGCAGCGACACCCCTGGGCAGGTTTCCCTCGTAGACCACAGACGTGTTGGCACGCAGATCGTCACCCTTGAAGAGGATGTACATGCGGTCTTCCTCCGTGTACAAATTGTTCCCATCAGGGAAGCTTTTCTTTTACTGAACTCTCCTCACCTACTTCCCTTCCAACAGCTTGACGAAAGAAAGATGGTGCATGCTGGCGAGAAACGTGAGGTTGTGCTGCCGCGGCATGAAAACAAGGAGAGTCCAATGCGACGGACACCATGTCTGAAGATAGGAATCCAATGTCTCCCATGGTTGGGCCTTCCACAGTTTGAGATCAACTGGCTCGCACAGATCGAGGACGAACGTGTGGCTCTTTGTGGCAGTCAGTGCTTCCTTCAGCTCTGCGCCCCTCATGTCCGCCTCCAAAAGGTCGTTAGCGAACGGCGCGATGGATGTCACGTCCCCCGTGTCTTTCCATTTAATGTGAACAATGTCTTTGGCAAGGGCGACCTCACGGCTCTTCAGTCTGCTCCCATTCAACACGGAGAGAACCTTGTTTCTCCAATCGACGGGCAACTTCTTGTGTCCCGCCAACTTCTTCGTCACCTCAATCGAGTTGTCCTAGTCGCAACCCATGTACGGCGGGCAGTCCTTGAACAACGCCGAGTCGAAAACGTGTTTCCTGCTGTTATCCCACAACTCGTCATCCAATCCCTGACTTTCAAACTTCCTGAACACTACAGACCTCGATTTCAGGAAAGGGTACCTTTGGATCCAATCCACGTCCGGCCTCTTCTCGTGTTTGAATTGGTAGTAATTCCACAATCGGACCAGCACGCGATCGCACTTCACCAACTGCACCATGTCCTGCACACTAAGCTTCCCCAACTTCGCCAACGACGGGGAGCCGGCCAGGACCCAAACGACCTCGCAAGCAAGCACCTTCTTAAGAACTCGACACTTCTCATTGTCCGTGAGTGATTTCATTGCTTTCCAACAATGCGCGTCTGGGTCGGGCACTTGCACGAACCAATCGCCCTCCTCTTTCTCCTTTTTGCCTTTCTTATTCGGTGGGTCCACGTGGACATTGTACACCACCTCAGTTCTGCCCAACTTGTCGTTGTGGATGTAGGCGAACCCAGGCTTGACGTTTTTGACCTTCTTCTTTTTCACGATCCACTTCGCTCCGTCGTGGCGCAGCAATCTACCCGTCTACAATTTATCGAAAAATTCCAGGGCCAGTTTCCAGACATTTTCTCCGGCCATCGCGAGAGGGAAATAAGAACGCAGGGCAGCATTTTGCTTCTTAAGGGCCTCCTCTTCCTTTTGATCCGCGAGAATCCACAAGCTGTTGTGAGGCGCCTTATGGAGCGCCGTTGTACAAAACTTACGCCAAGCCCGGACCTGATCTTGTTTTCCGCTAGGGTTCCCCATCACAGCTCTCGGGCAGCCGTCATGCTTCCACTGTCACCGAATGTCTTTCATAGACAGCTTCAACTGTCCGAGAGGCGCCTTCAGGTCCTTGTTACCCTGTGAACTAACAAGAAAATACCCTTCGAAGTCATCGTCCGAAAAGTAAAGCATTCGCGCCGGCCACCGCTCGAAATTGTACTTCTTGGCCACCTCGCTCCCGAGCAGTGACCGGGCTGCAACCGCGTAAAGCTGCCCGCACACCGCGTAGTAGTAGTATTCTCCCGCCAGCTCGTCCTTCCACTCCTCCGGCTTCAGACGTTGAGCCTTGGTCCCGGGAGTTGGTTTTTGAAGCCCCAGTGGTGCGACCTTGAAGATCGGCAACTCGTACGTCTGCTCTTTATTTTCGAACGCATACTTCATTTTTTCTTTTATCGTTCCCACGAGGACAGGATCCAGCGATCGCTGGTTGTAAAGATCCTCCCACTCCCCGAGGTCGACGATCTGAGCCGGGCTAATCTCAAACTCCCGCCTTGTCCTGACGCCGTCTTTGTACTCCAGGAAGTACCCGACGTCCACGTCGATGGCAGACCTTGTCGTGGAAGGTCCTGACGCAGGCTGTTTCTGTTTTGAAGCCGGACGTTTGCTACCTTGGTGGTCCTCTTCCAGCCCCCTTCCCTTCCGTTTCTCTTCCGTAGTCTTCGGGGTCCTCGTCTTCTGTTTCTTCGAAGAGCCTACCACGTCCTCTTGACAATCTCCCCTCCTTTTTTGGGGAGCCCCCTGCGCTCCCTCACCGCCCACGGCCTTGTCGTCCGCGTCATGGCCCTCGCTGGGCTCCAAGTCAGACCCACACTGGACTGCCTCTTCTCCGGGATCCGCTGCGACCTCTTGTCGGACCCCAAGTATGGACAGCACGGACCGGTCTCTTTCCCTCAACGTCGAAAACGGTGGACGCGGCTTCGCCTCATCTTCGCTGTCGTCAAACTGACCTCTGACATCCTCCCGTTGCACATGTGTAGCCTCGCCGGAACCCAGATCCCCCCCCTCCCCCGCTGCCCGCTCGACTCACAACCACCGCACAACTGCAAAGGCGTTGATAGTTCCAGGTCGGGGCCGACATCGCAAGGGACGTCGAGGGCGATGTCCTTGTCCTCCAACAAGTTCAAGAACTCTCGACCCAAAACAAACCCGCCCTGCCGCCGGAGGTCGTTGTAGAACGGGGTGTTCGCAGCACCAGCTCCGAACCCCTCGAACAGACAAATGTCGAGAACCGCCCCCTTGGCACCGGCGACGACGTTCCCCTTGGAACCGTACACATTTTTCATGTAGAACCGCCGACGACTGTCTTTCGCATTCTCCCACCGCAAGACAGCCCCCAGAACCCTACGGCGCTTGTTGGCTTCGACGAAGATTACAGGACCACACGGCTGTTGAACTGTGTTGGAAGCATCACCACAGCACCAGTCGATGAACCATTTCGACCTTGTGTGGTCCGACCACGACCTGGAGATCGTAGACGAACGTTTTGTGGAATCTTTCCCTGATCCACCTCGCCCCTCGACGAAGACATCTTGTCTGCGGATGACAACGGAAATCAAATGAACCACCAAAGAGTGTCATGTCGCAGACAAAACACAACGCAGGCAAAAAACACGGAGGACAAACATTGTGGCCAACCGTTCCGGGACCTTGAAGTTCGGATCCCGGCGAACTTTGGACGCGACGACCTTTAATGACCTCTTACCTGCAACGAGATCAATCTTTAAAAAGGGACACACATCATGCGGTCGAGCGACAACCACATCGGTATTTCCGAAATACAGATGCCGACCACATGGGGAATGAACGGGAGGTCATGTGCGAAGCTCGCGTTGGACGGGGCGGTGTCCTCCGCTTAGCACTCGAAACCCGGACAGGCTAGCACGCAAAGTCCGCCAGGGTCCCGACTAAAAGGCGGTGCGACAGAAAGAGAGAAACAGCCAGCCCGTGTAGCCGGCATTCCAGAACCGGGCTCGAGGGAACAGACTCCGCAACTGCATTTTACCAAAACTAGAAGTCGGAGACGGACTCTCCCGGTCGCCGGGCGGGTTGTGCGAACCACCGGACGGGCATGTCCGAAGACAAACCAATGCACCTCCCGAAAAGTGAAGTTCGCCAGGATCCGAACTTCAGGACGATGCGATAGGCAGAGACGGCGTCAGAGACACACGGTCCGTGCACTCAACCGCGACCTGGAAATGCCACAGAGAAATGAGAGGCCGGTTGAGAAGGACAAGTTCGCCGACATCCGAACTTCTTCTGATATGCGCAGCAGCCGTGACAACATTGTATGGGTCCCTGGTGGGACGGAACGACACGCGCGGAACAGGGCGGAGAGGAGCTGTTGTCGCAATCCATGGGGGATCCGGAAGACCATCGGCTGTCCAATAGACAGGCGTCACAGGAAGTTCGCCTGGATCCGAACTTCAGAACGCCGCGAGAAAGATACACAAAGATAAACACTCGATCACGTTTGAGCTTGGATGGAAGTTGGGGTCCGAGCAAGGTTATGGTGGGAGAACCCTGGGTCTCATAGCTGACCGCAGGTTTTGATGGCAGTAGTCATTGAGTCCATCTATGCTCAAAACATATCCAGATGCAACAAGAGGGCCCGCAAACCGGGATATCTAACGGGTTTCAGTAAACGCGAGCTCGCGCGACCCTGCGCTCATTCGAACCTGGGATCCCTAAGAGTGCTTTTGGCATTTCGCGACTGGGATCCCTAAGAGTGCTTTTGGCATTTCACAACGACAATGATCAACTGTTTGGCACATGTCAATGGTGGTCGGGCGACAACCGAACACGGATAGTGTTGATGAAGTTCGGTTGGCGACGGTCTCAGACCGGGAACGTCGGCGGGCGTAATTGGTCGTTCAAACTTGTGGAAGGCCGCGGCCTCAACCAAGATCGTGCTTGTGGTGCCCGACAGTTCTTGCGGTCCGCCCGACGCCAGCAGTATGAAAGACAAACCAACGCACATCCCAAAACGCGAAGTTCGCCGGGATCCGAACTTCGTCGGGGCACGACATGGAAGGAGAAGGCGTCAGAGATAGACCTCCAACATGATTTTCGGCGGTTGTTGAAATGATCGACGATCAGGGATTTGCACGACAAGTGCGCGGTGTAGCGTCTACGAGCAACTGATGCCTCTCACACCTCCCTCCACTGCTACACATCTCATATTGTAGGCAGCAAAACTGCATCTCATACCTCTCCCTTCTTTTCCCTTAAACAGCGGGTCTTACTACCAGTTCAGACGAGCCGACAGTCGGGGTTCCCCTGGGACGACGTCGTGAACCGAAGCCATACAAAGTATTCATTGATGATCCATATGAGTGGATCTGCAGTTCGTCTACCGATGCCCTCTCCAAAAAGACGGACATGTGTTTCATCCTAACAAACACTCCCGGTCGTGCTAAGGAATTCCCTATACAGTCCCGTATGTCGGACACTTTCTCCTCGACCTCACGATGCAACGAAAAGTTTTGGACCCACCCATCTACACGTACAGGTTCAAGCGTCCGCACGAATTTGGACCCCTCAATCACCACCTTGTTCTGTGACACAAGCACAACTGCATCGACGAGGTTCCTGCTCTTGTTCGAAGTAGCGATACATATAACTGGCGTAATCAGTCCCCGACAAAGTCAATCGCACACAATAGTATGACACAACTTGTGGAGAATTCCCGGGGCACCCGAGCGGGTACTGCTCCAAGAACGAGCAGTGACGAGCGCAGTCCACCAACTCTTGTATCCGCGAGCCTCCCCAAGTTCGTGGCGACGACCTGACGTAGTGGCACTCGAGGCGGCTGAAATGGCGGCTAATGCAGCCAAGTGCTTTGCGCATATGGTTCATGAACTTGTGTCCGAAGACAGTGTCAGACACCAGGATGAGGTCCCCGAACTCCAACATGTTGGCGAACTTGTACTGGCTCGCCCATGGACAACGACTCTCCATCGTGGCCCAATTCCCATCGCACCACTCGTCAATATGCAGTCCCATGCATGGGACGACGGTCATCCAGGGGTCCTCGTCGAAGTCCTCTGCGGTCGCTCAGTGGATCGTAGTCACACCGTTAAAATACCGCACGGATCTCGCGCAAGGACGAAATGGTTCTGCCAAGCGAATGTGTGTCTCGGGACTCATGGTCTGTGGTGTCGAGAACATCGACTCCATGATTCGTGGTGTCGAGAAGGTCGCCTCCATTACGCACCCTACACACCACGCGCACATGCCAAACGAGACACACGGGCACGGAGACACTCGTAAACACGTCGTGTTCCGCGATCTGCGACCTATGACATTAGACGGACCGCACGCTCGAAGATCTGAATCCGGGTGGTCGACTTGGTTGGTGTTCACTTCTAATGGCCAGTAGGCCAGCCGCAAACATGTCCAATGAGAAACGGGAACGTCATGTCCGCCGTGATCCAAACTTGGCGAGACTGCGCGGGAGAGACAAAGGTGTCTCTAAAACTCACCGTCTTGAACTTTTGTGAAGTTCGTATCTTGGCGGACATGACATTTTTACGAATCCAAAGTTGTGGCAATCCACCGGGCGCTAGAAACTCCACAGTCAGAACCCACACCACCAGGGATTTGAAGCACGCCTGTGTCCGAACTTGACGGCCGCAAGAGGAATCGTGCACAAGAAGTTCGGATCCCAGCGGACTTCGCATTTTATCGAATCCGAAGTCCGCCCGGGTTCGAAATTGACGAGTGTCCGAGGAACCGTGCACGGCAGGTTCGGATCCACGGCCCAGCACGCGGGCCGGAAACATGAATTGCGAAAGGACGAAATCTCAAGTTCGCCGATATCCCAGCGGACTTCAAGTGTTTGAGAATCCGAGGTTGTGGCAATCCCCCAGGCGCCCAAGTCCGCATTCTGAACCCAAGCAATGCGAAAATCGAAGTTCGTCGGGATCCGAACTTGACGTATGTGTGAGGGAACGTGCAGGAGAAGTCCGGATCCCAGCGGACTTCACATTTTCACCAAACCGAAGTTCACCGAGGTCCAAACTTGACGACTGTACCAGGGACCTTGCAAGCGAGGTTCGGATCCACAACCCAAAAGGCGAGCCACAAACATGTCTTCCGAAAGGCGGGAACATGAAGTTTGTCGGAATCCGAACTTGGCGAAATTGCGTGGGAGAGACACACCTGTTTGCCAAACTCACCGTCCAACAATTTCTTGAAGTTCGGATCCCGGCGGACTTCGAATTCCTGCACATCCTCAACTGTGGTTGCGGGGCGGGGTTGCGAAACGTGTGCGAACAGGTGCACAAGCTCGCCGGAATGCGAACTTCTTCCGTTGTTTGATTGCACGATCAGTTCAGTTTGATTGCGCGATCGGTTTGCCAAAGTTCGACGTCCGACGAGGTTCGACGCCCAACGAGGTTTGATGTGAAGTCAGGTTCCATGCCCAACATGGTTCGATGTTATACAAGGTTCGATGAGCAACAACATTGTGTGATCCGTTCGCGGGCACATGATCAATTGCCTTGTGGATTCTCTGCGAAGAACGGATTTGTCGCAGATCGGTTGCTCGATGCCGCTGCTTCCAACGTCTGGAGATTGATGATCTGGTCGGCGAGCGACCGGTCTATCGAACTTGTCGGTAGTCTTCGAAAGAACACTCGATTGGTCAGGAGATTTGCCAGGATCAGCTGTTTGATCGGGTGCTCGGTTGGTGGTTGGTGTGTTGATAGATCAACCACTCGAACAACCTCCAACAGAGCACCCGATCAAACAAGTTATCATGGCAGATCTCTTGACCAATCGACTGTTCGCTCGCCGATGGGTTGATCGAGCACACGCACACGCAGACGCACAGACGAACGCACACGCACATCGCCTGCAGGAACACATAACAGGTCACGGTGCTAAAACAGCGCTCGCACGAACACGCACACACACACAAACACGCACATCGCCGCGGTTTTGATGTTGCCATTGAGACAAGCCAAACACACACGCGGTGGCAACGTCGGGACACCCCACACGATCAATCGACCGATCGCGAGTAATCTGTTAGTGTTCCGCGATCGATCGGATAGATGCGTTTGCGATCCCGATGTTGTCTCCTCGTGCACTGATGAATCATCCGTTAGGCGAATCAGGGGCAATATTGTTGGGACAGCAATCAGCATCAATCACCCGATCCCGAGTGGTCGGCTTATGTTTCGTGATGGGTCGGTTCATCGACTGTACGTTGTAGACATTGTCACCACGTGTTCGAGTGGAGCTTTCTCTGCTGGTCGGTTGAATCGATCACGATTGACCTGATCGTGTTTCGTGATTGGTCGACGGATGCGTTCGCTGTGTCGATATTGGCACCGCCTATTTTGATCGATCATCCATTACAGCACAAAGGATCACATCGAGTGTGGTAAGTGCTCAAGATGTGATTGTGTTTCGTGATTGGCCACCGCGTGTTTCGTGATTTGCCAGCCAGGCACACGCATCTCCGCGCGTTCAATGTGCCCAATCACATACACGCGCTCAAAAATGACGTGGAAACACCTTCGCGCGCATCTCCGCGCATTCAATGTGCCCAATCACACACACACGCGCAAAAATATGCACAAACAGGCACACACACACACACACACATACGCGCCCGCATACGCCGCCCACATACACACACGCCCCTCAGATCCTGACACGCGCACGATCCTTCCTCGCGCGTGTGGCATACACGTCATGCAACCACACACACTCAAATACACACACACAAAAACAATCACACAGACACACACGCGCACGCACAAACACACATTACCACACACACACACACACACACACACGCATCCGCCCGCACACACTTAAACACGAACTCTTTCAATCTGTGCGAGCGTATCATCTGAAAACCCATCCGCACGCACACACAAACACACACACGTCCCAGCTGCGGGCGCACTCACCGTGTAATACTGTCGAGTGGAGATTCGCATGGTCCGCGCCGTCAATCCAGACAACAATCTGTCGACCTTTTGGCTTGTGCTTTTCGTTCGCGAGTATGTTGCGTGGAGTGCTTTGTGTTTGCGAGGGCAACGCGTGGAGTGGTGGGCGCTGGAATTGTCGACACTCGACGTCGAATATGACGTGGACAGCGACTTCGAAGGTGGAGGGAGATGCGAGGGCACGCGGGGTGCGTCAGTGCTGGGAAACGAGCGAGGTGAGGAATGTGTGTCCCTACTCTTTGCGAGCTATGGCGCTCCAGCCTCCAGCTGTGCGGGGTGGTGTTGTTGACGACAGTGGCGGTGCGAGGCTTCCGTCGGGCAGCATCTCCCCAGCAAAAACGCAGAACGCATCGTTAATGCCCAGGGCGCCGCTGGTACTTATAGGCACGCGGGACTCGAGGCCCCCTCGGGCCTTCGGTTTCGGAAAATCGCGCAGGGTCCGTATGCCACCGCACGACTGTTCGATCCTCGCATCGAACGGTGGCTCCACGTCGAAATTTCCCTCACGGGGACCTGGTGAGCACGACATGACAAAAAAGTCCCTGTGGGCCAGCCCTTCCCTGGCGTCATTAAAAAATAGAGCCCTTTTTCCTGGCCGCTCGCGTTCGTGTCGTCGGGTTCGTGGGCCCCGCGCGAGGGGGTCTCACGCAGCGCGGGGGGCCAGCTTGTATTTTCCAATCCGTTGGGGGGGGGGGGGGGGGGGGGGGCCGCGGGAGGGGAGGTTGGAGGGGTTCGCGGGCATTCGCATCTCCTGCCTGGCGAGCGGGGTCCGAGGCCACGCGAGGGGACACAGGAGGGTCTTTCCATGGGGTGCGACGACAGTTTGGGGCTCCGCTGCCTGGGGTCTGGTGCAGCGCATTCGCATCTTCAGCCGTGATGAGCGCATTCGCGCGCGACGTTCCTTCTGCGACCTCCTCCATCGCCTTTGCTGCTCCGCTGTTGCGCCACGTGTCTGCGGGCGTCCCTCTCGTCGCCAACTCTTTCCCGTCCTTCTCCCCGCTGCTGAGGTCCAGTTGTCGGCGCTTCCACATTCCTTCTTTGCGTTCTGCGTTAGCAAGTGGCCGTCGTGGTCTGCGCTCATCCCTTGTCGAATAGTCGCGCCATCATGCGCGCCTTGCCATCGTCGAGGAACTGCTCGTCGTCCAAGACTTGTGCCCCGTCAGAGAGCTGCGCCATCGTGTGCACTGTGCCGTCGTTAAGGTAAAGTGGTTTTCTGCCTGCCCGCGTGTCAGTCGTCACACATGCTTGCCGGCGCGTGGGAGCAGCCGCATCGCACCACGTGTCACAAGTCGCGGGGACGGCGGGAACGGATGTCGATGAGATTGGGGCACATGGTTACTGTATGCCCTTTTTGCTTCCCACTCGTTCGTTCCTCGCGAGCGGCCCCTTCACCCTTGCTTACCATCATCATCATCATCATCACCATCATTATCATCATCATCGTCGTCATCATCATCATCATCAGCAGCAGCAGCAGCATCCTCATCATCAACGTCGTCATCATCATCATCATCATCATCATCATCATCATCATCATCATCATCATCATCATCATCATCATCGTTGTCATCATCATCAACACCATCATCATCATCATGATCATCATCATCCTCATCATCATCAACGACATCATCATCATCATCATCATCACCATCATCATCATCATCACCGACATCGTCGTAGTCATCAACAACGCCACCGTCCTCGTCATCATCATCATCATCATCATCAGCATCGCAATCAGCATCATCGTCATCTTCATCAACACCCTGATGATCATCATGTCATCATCATCATCGTCTGCATCGCAATCAGCATCATCATCATCTTCATCAACACCCTGATTATCATCATGTCGTGGCACGTGTCGCAAGTGGCGGGGACAGAGGGAACGGATGACGAAGACATTGGGGCACACGGTTGTTGTGTTCCCTTCTGCTTCCCTCTCGCTCGTTCCACGCGATCGCCCCCATGATTCCTGCTTGGGTTGGCGATGGGCCAGATGTTTTTTGTATTTCCTTCTCTTCGCACTCCTTCGTTCCTCGCGAAAGGCCCCATGATTCCTGTTTCGCTTGGCATTGAAGACGAGCCAACAGAACATTGCAAAACACTCCCATGTGGTTGTCATACTGAACATTGCAATACACTCCCAGGTGGTTGAGGCAAACACGAAATCGCCTTTTCACAGCAGAACACGAGATCCCGTCGACAAACGTTCCTCGCACATTTGCTTTTCTCGACAAACAATTCAGAGGTTGTTTAACACAAAGGAGATGCATTGGACTGCAAATCCATGATTGATGGTTTGAATCCCTCGCAGGGCAAACAGTGGTCGCGGCGGGTGTGCTGAACGACCAGCGGGCGCCACATGGGCTGCGCGCGACCAAGGTTGGAATTAAGCTTCGCGCAGTGGCCACCGTGCGAACGATGTCCACCGTCCACGTGGGGTGCAGTGAGAGGAATGGTGTTTATCAACAGGAGGGGGTCGTCGTTCCGTTTTCATGTTCTCGTCACAACACTTGTGCCTCCCTCCCCGGAGAGACAACGGCGTCAATCCCGGGAGAGCTGGTGTCGTCCCCATCCCGCGCGCACAACGTGCACAGGATCCACCATAGAGGCCACGGATGTTGAGCGCGTGTGCCTGGTACAGGTAATGAGGGACGCGACAGGAAATTGCGTACGACAAACGCCAGTGTTGTGCGCGCAACATCCGCGGGGTCCAGGACGAAGAATGCACACGTTGCGTGCGCGCGATGGAGAACGACAACACCGCTCGCTGCAATGACAATGCTGTTTCTTCGGCGTGAGCGCCGCATGTTTCGTGACGAGAACCTCAACATGAAAAAACAACCTCGTTCAATAACGAACAACCCGGCCGCCTCCGGGACACGTCTTATTCGTCGGGGAACGGGGGGTTGCCATTGTGACTGCAGGCGCGAAACCAACATCCGCCAAACATAAAAATGTGAGTCGTGTGTCGTTGCCTGGCGAGATGGGAAGTTCAGATACCGGCGAACTACAGCAATCATGCGTAGTGCTCTCATGGAAGTGGCATTGTGTTGCCGTTGCGCAGCCGTTGGGAGAGCACGCGCCTCTGAGAAAACAACGCATGATTGTTGTAGTTCGCCGGCATCCGAAGTTCCATTCTCGCCAACTTATCACACGCGACTCAACGTTTTTTTTGGCGGTTGTTGGTTTCGTGTTCGCAGTCACAATGTCATTCCCGGTTGCCCTGGTGACTAGCTTTTGCGAGAAATTTTCCAGCTTCAGGGCATGGGGCCAATATTTCAGAATGCTCTGCCAGTTGTCATCGTGCGAGGGCGACAATACAAAGTTTGGATCCCGACGGACTTGCGATCTGAAGCATGCGAAGTCGTGAGCTGCTCGGATGGTCATTGTTGTTTCGACCGCATCGCTGAAATCACATGCTTGCTGTTTGCATGGATCTTTACGGAGTCCTGGGTGCATGACTGTTCTTTGGGTGGCGCTCCCGCCAAAAAAAAAGTCATGTCACTGGGACCCGAGCAAAAACAAAGTGTGTCATGCTCCCGGTCGACACGCAGCAACAGATGTCAAGTTCGGATCCGGGCGGACTTCGGGGTCGGCACCCGTTAGTGGTCCCTAAGTCGAACCGAGGGCAAGTTCGGATCTCGCCGGACTTTGAGGTTCGACTAGAATCTAACCGGCCATTTCCGACGGCCTGACCTTTCGCATGTGTTGTGCTGGCCAGAGACGTTTGGGTGCGCAAAAGTGCCAGCCTGTCAAATTGCCTCGTTGGTGTTTGAGGGGGTTGCCGACGGTGGTGTCGTCATCGGCATGCGTGCAATCTGGCCACCGACATTCCCGTGTCTTCGCGCTCATGGCGGTTCTTGCTATCATATGTCGACGTTGGCAGAGAGCGAGTCGGGCCTCGCCTTCTCGACTGGACAAATCGTCGTTGGATGGGGTTGCAGGGGGGGCCACCAGCCATGGTGATTTCTTTTGGTGGGTCTAGTCAGTGTCATCACGGATCACAACATTTGTGACTGCATCGCGGCACAAGCTCGCTTTGTCGGTGGGGAGAATCGGCGTCTATGTGGGTCTATTGGGGGCCGCGCTGCACCGATTTCTAACGTGGTGCACCTACGACTACCATTTTTGTTGTGCGTGCTCTCGTCGAACAGACACTTGCGAACAGCAGCAGGGCCTCCCTAACCAAGCACACACGTATAGCGTTCCTTTTGTGCACTTCAACACCCATCCTCGAGACAACCGACATCCCCCGCACAAACCGGTTCCTCGCCAGTCCGGCAAACGCCAAGTTCGGATCCCGGCGGACTTTGAGGTCCCGCAAAAAATTCAGCCGCCAAATTTGGATCCCGGCGAACTTTGAGGCTCCACGTGAATCTGACCGTTGTTTTCAACAGCTTTGACTTCCCCGTCCATCTTCAATGCCGACGGCCTGTTGGTGCGCAAAAGTGCTCGCCTTGTGAATGGCCCTAAAAGGGGTTCATTGGGGTTGACGACGGTGTCGGTGGCCGGGTCGATTTACTGTGTGCCCTCCAATAAAAAGCATTCTATATTTTCCGTGTCTGCGCTGTGTGCATGTCGGAGTTCGACAACCTCCTGTGCTAGTACATCTGATTAGACGGTGTCGATAATTGGTGTTTATAGGGGTCAGTTTGGGGTCGCGCTGCGCCGAATTGAGTGGTGGTGCATCCACCATCACCCTTTCTTCTGCGCGTGCTATCGTACAACGAAAACTTGAGAGCAGCAGAGCCTTCCTTCTGTGCGCCCAGACATAGCGTTCCTTATGTGCACCCGCTGGCGCTCCCTTCCACTGGCATCGGTCACGCAATAACAGGTTCCTGGCTGCTCCAACTCCCGCCAAATTCGGATCCCGGCGGATTTTGAGCCTACGTGTAAATCGGACCATTATTTTCGACAGCGTCGACTTCCCCGTACGTCTTCAATTCCGGCGGCCTGGTAGTGCGCAAAAGTGCTCCCTTTCGAATTTGCCCTAAAATGGGTTTATTGGGGTTGACGACGGTGTCAGTGGTCGGGTCCTTTTCCTGTGTGTCGTCGATCTTCATTGCCCTCCAATAAAAGCAGTTCTAAATTTTTCGTGCCCGCGCAGTGTACATGTCCGAGTTCGACAACCTCTTGTGCTAGTGCATCTGATTAGACGGTGGTGAGAATCGGTGTTTATAGGGGTTAGTTTGGGATCGCGATGCGCCGAATTGTGTGGCGGTGCATCCGCCATTACCCTTTGTTTTGCGCGTGCTATCGTACAACGAAAACTTGAGAGCGGCAGAGCCTTCCTTCTGTGCGCCAAGAGATAGCGTTCCTTATGTGCACCCGCTGGTGCTCCCTTCCACTGGCACCGGCCGCGCGAAAACAGGTTCCTGGCTACTCCAGCACCCGCCAAATTCAGATCCCGACGGACTTTGAGGCTCCGTGTAAATCTGACCGTTATTTTCAACAGCTTCGACTTCCCCGTCCGTCTTCAATGTCGGCGGCCTGGTAGTGCACAAAACTGCTCGCCTTTGAAATTGTCGTAAAAGGGGTTTATTGGGGTTGGCGACGGTATCAGTAGCCGAGTCCATTTCCTGTGTGTCGTCAATCTCCGTTGCCTTCCAACAAAAGTCATTCTAATTGATTCTTGTCTGCGCAGTGTACATGTCCGACTTCGACAACCTCTTGTGCGAGTACATCTGATTACACTTTGGCGAGAATCGGTGTTTATAGGGGTCAGTTTGGGGTCGCGATGCGTCGAAATGTGTGGTGGTGCACCCACCATTACCCTTTTTCTGCGAGTGCTATCGTGCAATGAAAACTTGAGAGCGACAGAGCCTTCCTTGTGTGCGCCCAGACGTAGAGTTCCTTATGTGCACCCGCTGGCGCTCCCTTACACTGGCACCGGTCGAGCGAAAACAGGTTTCTGGCTACTCAAGCACCCGCCAAATTCGGATCCCGACGAACTTTGAGGCTCGGCGTAAATCTGACCATTATTTGCAACAGCTTTGACTTCCCCGTCCGTCTTCTATGACGGCGGCCTGTTAGTGCGCAAAAGTGCTCGCCTTGTGAATTACCCTAAAAGGGGTTTATTGGGGTTGACGACGGTGTCAGTGGCCGGGTCCATTTCCTGTATGTCCTCGATCTTTGTTGCCTTCCAATAAAAGTCATTCTAATTGATTCTTGTCTGCGCAATGTACATGTATGACTTTGACAACCTCTTGTGCTAGTACATCTGATTACACTGTGGCTAGAATCGGTGTTTATAGGGGTCAGTTTGGGGTCGTGATGCGCCGAATTGTGTGGTGGTGCATCCACCATTACCCTTTGTTCTACGCATGCTTTCGTGCAACGAAAACTTGAGAGCGGCAGAGCCTTCCTTGTGTGCGCCCAGACGTAGAGTTCCTTATGTGCACCCGCGGGCGCTCCCTTCCACTGGCGCCGGCCGCTCGAAAAAAGGTTCCTGGCTACTCGAGCTCCCGCCAAATTCGGATCTCGGCGAACTTTGAGGCTCCGCGTAAATCTGACCATTATTTTCAACAGCTTCGACTTCCCCGTCCGTCTTCTATGACGGCGGCCTGGTGGTGCGCAAAAGTGCTCGCCTTGTGAATTGCCCTAAAAGGGGTTTATTGGGGTTGACGACGGTGTCAGTGGCCGGGTCCATTTCCTGTATGCCGTCTATCTTCGTCACCGTCCAATAAAAGCCAACATCGTGATAAGTGTGGTTTAGTTGCTGTCATGCTTCTTCCAGGGTGTGCTTTGCGGTTCGCGCAGTCGGGTGTCGACATTTCGAAGACGCTTCGGCATCGAAGTCGTGCGTGCTGCAAACGCTTTCAGTCCCAACGCACAACCTTTGAATCGACGTGCATTTAATCGCGGTTTGCAGGGATCGACTGACGGTCATTAAGCCATGTTTTTTTTTGTCTCCTGCATGTCATAGCCTTGCATTCGTTATGCCGATTGGCCGACAGTCAGTTCACGCCGACCCGTTGATAACCGGTTGGCCGTCGATTTTATTTATGCGAAGTTCGGATCCCGACGGACTTCTATCCGCGACTATTCGACCGTCCATTATGCACGTCTAACTCCTGATAGGACACGTCCTGCTGGGCGCAACATACAAACAGAAATATGTCGACAAATTAACAACATAGATTCACGCCTGGGCAATGGAGTGTTCTGCCCATAACCAAATATCACCGATTACATGCAGGCAGCGCGAGGTAGACATTTATTAATGTGGGTCGCATTACAGGCTTCCTCATAAACACTGGCCATGCATGAGTTCGCGAACTATCGAAGCGATGACATGTTATATGCTGTCCATACTCGCCTGGCCCTCTACGTTGTCAACGGTCTCATTCGACACTCAAGTGTCGGCTGACATGCTCCTTGAGGGACTTGCCTCTCGACGCTAAACAACCGCCAAGACGGTTGCGTTACCTACCCTCTTCAGCTACCTGCGGGAGCGACGGGTAGGGGGGCCAAGGCCCTTTGTGGCAGCTGAGTTCCATCTGCGGAGGCCTTTAAAAAGGTCAAGGGTTTTGACTTTGACAACTGCTACGGACTTCAACGTCCAACTACAAAAGTATAAA